AAATCACTGGATTTATATTTACTGGACTTTCAACATGTTAATTGAATACTGGCACACTGCACTGTTGTCATCTGTGTTAAATTTTTGAATCAAATTATGATTTTCAAATGAAAAGTTAATGGCTTCTTGATTTCAAATTTATGGAATAAAAGATTATTCAAACTACCGCTGTGATTGGTCATTTGAATGCAATGCCTATTTTCAAAACTACTATAAACAAATTCATTTTGCAAAAGACACATCTTGAGTCAGTAAAAATCTTAAAATGTTTACAGTCACACTTCATTGCTCAAATATAGATTATGGTTCAAGCCCCAACAAGACCAAACTACTGTAAAATACTTTTGCTTCGAATTAATTTTCGCTTAAAGGAATTATTCAGTGAGAATAAAATCCAGTGAATATACCTTCTTTACTATATTTTACATTCATGAATAAATTCCATACAAAACACCCAAAAAGTCTTTTCAGCGAAAATTAATTCCAGCTAAAATAAAGTATTTTACAGTATGTTGTCAGAAAAACTTAGTTGTGAACTCATTTAATTTGGAGCAATTTTGTGTAAATCAAATCTGTCAGTCACTAAACACAACTAACATAGTAAAGTATGTAATGTTCGTTAGTTGAAGAAGTCGCATAGATGATATAACCACAAAATTTCAAGAAAAGCCTACTTTTCTACAAATCCTAAGCCAAATGTGAACACCACTAGTATACATCATACAAATGTAATCTTACACTTAGATACCATAATTTTCCTACATATTAACTACGTTAATTATTTAAATTATTCTTAAGTTCTGAATAAACTTCTCTACATTGCAATGTAACTTAATGTTATAGTATATTTTTGGTAACACAGTACACAAATACACAAATGAATAGAGGATGAGAAACAGTTTGTGTTAACATGTTATCAGTACTACACCCAAAGAGACACATTATTCATTGATGATGAAAAGAATTTAAAAATAACAAAAATGAATACAAATTCATTTTTGTGATGAGTAACAAACACATGTCCATTCCCCTTTCACAATTTCTGAAATATGTATTTGAAAATGAGAACAATGCCTCCTGAATAATTAAATATTTATTCTTTTTTCTCATTGACAACTATTGATATGTACTTATTTGAGATTTTATTATTACCAATTGATTTTTTTACCCATACTTTTATGTATTTGCCTTTAATATTTCTAGTTTATTTTTTAATCATTAATTTTAGTAAGTGTACAAATTTGTTTCTCTCTTTAGTTTTGTGATTAACTTTTATAATTGTATTTTTTAGACCTTACTGCTGTTCTTTCTGAAGTCTGTGTTGTGTCAATAAACGTACGATTCTAATACACGTGTGATAATAAAGTGGTATTTGTTCTATTGTGGAATTTTTTGTGATTCTAACTTATAGTTCATGCGCGTTCTTACGTTCCTATGTTCTACCTGTACGTTATCACACTTGCTTCTATGCTATCGATAAAGAGCCATTGCTCGAAACGTCTAGCTATTTTTAATAGTTATTTAGGACTACGATTACCTAATATTATCTTCAATATA